CTGGATCTTAAGTTATCAGAGAAAGAAGCTGAGCTAACGTTAGCAGCAGCTCGGCTCAACAGCATGATTTTTAAGGAGGAACTGCTTTATTCAATGTTTTTACCGGTTATAATCAGTGGGTCGGTTTGTTTTGGAGAGGAGGAGACCTTCACAACATACTTTTTCTTTTGTTATTGTTTTGATGTCAGAGACCCCTGTACGTTTAATATCAGAAATTACATACTAGTAATAGTTGAATATAAATTAATGAGAAGTAATGGGATGTTTTTTTCTTACCACTTACACTCAATACAGCAAGGCAAATATGAGGGAGAGTAATTTATTTACTTACACTTGGCAATTATGCTGTCCACAAATCCCATGGAGAAGCGAAAGAATATGAAGTTATGCAAGTGGTCCACCTGAAGACGAAATAAATATGTTCACATTCTGAACACACAGTGACTTGTAACAGCGAATATCAGCCCCCATTAAAAAGTTGGTGTTTCTCTGTACCACGCTTTTCTTTCTCTTTCTCTTTCCTGTTGCAGCTGGTGTAGCCAGATCTACTGTTACACATTTTTATTTCTACTACTAGATAACCTGTTTTCAGCTGTTTTCAGTAAATGTTTCAGAGCTAGGGGGTGTTAACAGTGACGTGCTTAGCAATGACAACATAGCACTGCTGTTGCAGGAATAATTTAGAGAGTAACTTCATTGAAAATATTGTTTTAGCTCAACCCCAGGGGTTCAACTTCTCACCTTGCTATTGTGATGTACAGATGTACTCACACACAACATCACTATTGGGTGTGGTTACAGGCGCAACAAAACACATTACTACACTACTAACACTACTAAACTGTAAACCCACCAGTTTTTTGAATGTGGCATGAATGGTCTGTTTTTCTCTCATGTTCCCATTGTAGAAGGCAATCTCCTCACTGACGAGAAAGAAAAGAAGATCAGTGCAGTGTTGTAGTAAACAGCTGTACAGTAACAGGGTTTAAGCTGTTGCTGGTGTGTTAACCTGTTGGTGATGAGGCGAGAGTTGACATAGCGGTACTCCCCCTCGTAGCGCTGCTCGGTGACTGTCATCTTGCCTATGGGCCTCCTTAGTCTGGTCAGGAACAGACCTGAGATCAGCAGGTAGGCCATCATGATGCCTGGGCCCTGGGTAGGGGAGGGGAAATGGAGACAATGGAGTCACTGTTTAGCACTCAGGCCCTAGGATGTGTGTGGTAAAGAGGATGGTGACATACGTACATTATATTTCTCTCCTCTTCACAGCTAGTTTAAAGTGGGGATGCACTAATTGGGATATTCTGGGTTGATATGAATGTTTAAATTAACAATTTGGCTGATAGCCAATCTTTTATTGTTATTTATTCGCCCATTTGTGCCAGGAAAACAAAAATCTACAAAGATAGGCATCTCTGCCTTGTTGCCGCTCAGTCCATTTATCTTCTCATCAAAGACGTGAGGAGTTAGCCAACACAACACTTGTTTTAAGTCTGGAACATTGGACTTTCAAGAGCATTTTATTCTTCAATCTGAGGGATCTCAAAGCAGAGTAACAGGAAATACGGGGGTGGATAAGTTGTTCAACTATGTGTATGTCCCCTGTAACACAGTTAATTATGGGGGTGAAGCTACTGCCCAAAACAGGCTGGCTCCAGAAGTGAGGCAATCTCCATTAGGCCCCATATTTGTCCAACATTACAGCAGAAACATGTTTACAGTCTGGTACCAAAAACGGTTTTAGTCTCTAAAACTAATTTCTCTGTTTAGGACAATGTATGGGGTGTGAATTTGTATATAACTATAATCACAAAATTGACTTGTACGGTAGACCGGGTATGCCATTAAAAAAATAAAAATAAGTTGTTTGAATTGTATTGTGATATGTGTGTGATACAGTATATGTAAAACCCTTGTAAAAATATGAAAAATGCGTATCGTCATGTCTTAGTTTGGTTCCTATTTAAGTAGACATTGTATATATTTAATGTATTTGCATAGGCCGAAAAAACGTGCAGAAGATAACCTGATTACCTGAGCACCAATGGCACTTGTCAGCTTGAAGATGTATAGACCAATATCCAACAGAGGCTAGAGGACAGACAGAGGACAAAAAGATTATATTATAATATATAAATAATATATTATATCGCAATATCGAGTAGCACCTGGGCCCAGCAGAACACAGGAACTTAAATCATCACGATGTATGGGCTATATACACTAATCAGCCATAACATTATGACCACAGACTGGTGAAGTGAATAACACTGATTATCTGTCCTTAAAGTTGTGTTAGAAGTAAGAAAAATGGGCAGCGTGAAGATTTGAGCGACTTTGACAATGTTGTGTTCAAGTTATATATCTTTTTTTTTATTCATACAGATTGCAACTATAGTTGTAAGTCCATCATCTATACTTAGAACTGAGTTCTGATGGACATCATTAGAAAACTTTCTAGAGGTTGGTGAATCTATTGCATGAATTGTGAACATATATACTTACAATGTCAGGTTATGAGCGTATGGTCAAGGAGGGGTGAGAGTAATTAGTTTATGCATTTTACAGGTGATTACTGGTTGAGATTAGTTTAATCATTATATTTTAGGTTGACAGAAACATTAAAATGCCACTTCAATTTTAATAGGTTTTGCTAACCTGCAGTTGGTGGTTCATAAACACACATTATCAAATCTGTATGTATTATAAGGATCGAGTTTACCATTTTATAAACCCGGACTGCAAGTTATCCAAAAACAGTTTAGCTTCATATCAGACGCTGCATTTGAAACCAAAACAGTTGGGGTTGGAAGAGTTTAAAAATTAAAATAAGTAATACTTGTTTTTTTGAAATATGTTACAAAATTCACTTTATATATTTAACAGAGAACAGAGCATGCAATGATAGTTTTCCTTCCCCGGTAACTATCTCATACTTCAATGGAACGGAAATTTTGTTTCTCTAGCCTTAACCACGTCACAAACATAAATGCCCAAACTCCAACCTGAACCGTAAGACCAAATATCATAACCGTCCATAAACAGTCAATTAATCATTCTCCCAAATTGAATTATTCAATTACGATATAAATGCGGAAAAATCCCTCACTAAAACATTAGGTGTATCAGGTACACACATACATCAAACACTTAGAAAGCTTAAATAACTGAATGAAAGCACCTTGACAGTAATTGATGAGATAGTCAATAACAGTGTCTTTTAATTCCATGAGATCGTAAAATGTATGGTTTCACATGTAGCTTAGAAGAGAAGTGTGTAGTGGAGTACCAGGTCTTAAAGAAAGTGACTCCATTTTTATCCTCCACAGATGTGTGAAGTTCAACCTTCAACTTGCAACAAGGTTAACGTGGAGGCAGTAAGGCAGCTACTGTCATTGGCTGCCTTGAGTCCTGAGTCTCGTTCTTTTCGGTAAAACTTTAAAGAGCAGCTCCTCGATCCTTTGCAATGTCATTAACGGTTTCCTTAAGCCGCAGACAGACTGGCGTTTTAAATCTAGATATCTCCAATCAACTCATCAGTCAGCTGCAGAAAGGTAGCCGCCCTTAGTGTTTGAAAGAAGGATTTGAGCGAGTGAGAATAAACAATAATGAGATCATCATGGAATGACGACCTAAGATACAATGTCATTTGGGTTATACTTATATCATTAATGTCCTGATGAAATACCTTCAACAAAGTGTAAAAAAAGAAAAAATTAAAATCTCACCCATTCCCGAAATTTTGAAGCTCGTAGAGACTATCCCAGGCGCTGCCTCCTCCTCTTCTCTCTGGCAGGTTATCTCCTTGAACAGCAACATGGCATAAGCTGATGATATCAAAGCACCAGATGGTAATACCTGAATGAGAATGCAGATTTAAATTAATCAATGTTCAAATTATACTTTTAATAGAGAACGTTATGAAATGAGATTAACAAATATAAGAAAATACAACTTTATTATACTTCTATTTGAAATCTAAAGCACAAGTTGTCCTAAATTATTGCACAATCAAAGACGAATAACATCAGCTGCTGTTAATACAGTTTAATCAGCTTAAAAGTAACGTATGAAGCCCATTCTGGTCAACACTTTATCAGACACATCCCAACACCTGGAGAACGCTGGGTATGTAAATATGAATTTCTAAAATCTACGCTCCTATATTATGCTTTAAAATATCTTTATGAAATATACAGACCAGCCGTCAGTATAAGCAGTTAGTTTTTTTTTTCCAGGGTGAATGTCCATGGGATTAATAAAAATGAGAAGCTGTTTTTGGGGATGAAATACGTTTTTGGGATTAATTTGTCTTGGATCGATCACACATATCCATCTGATGTACCCATATACCCCACGGTACTTTGTGTTTCATCCCCTCTCATTTTATACCGGGCAATATCGTGATAAAGTATCGTGGACCTAAAGTATCGTGATACCGTATCCGTATCGTGAGGTTCCTTG